CTTAACAAGACAATTATGCATTAATTTGAAACTAATTGATATTAAAATTTTGAATAAAATAATATAATAATAACGCTCTATTCACGCTTTCAATGTTGAATTCTTTTAAAATAGATGCTTTCACGCTCTCGCTCCCACTCTCGCTCCCGCTCCCGCTCACGAATTGGTTACCTAAGGCTTTACTGAGTTGTATGCCGCGTTTTGTTATTTGTGCTGTTTTTTTGGCTTCGTAGATTGCAATTATGGTTGAAGACATGAAGTTTCCCATAGCAATTAGAGCTCATAAGAGGTGCAGTCATGCCTCTATTGGAAAACTTTGATCTTCCATTCATATTCTTAGGTGTATGTGTATCTAAGGAGTCATTTGGATTGATTTTCTTGGTAGTAATTTTTTGGCTCAAATAAATAACACAAAATGTTTAGCTGTGAAAAACAAGAGTGTGTTATTTGGATGTGGTGTTTGCAAAATAACATAAATGTGTTGTTTGTCAAATACTTGAAGGGGGTCAAGTATTTGTCAAATAACACAAACATGTTATTTGAAGCCAAATATCGCATACCTAATAATAAGTATTCTGTTATGTGGTATTTGTGTGGTAATTGACCCCAAATAACAAGTTTTCTAAATCATCAAATGTTTGGCCTAGATATTTTAAGCATCAAAGAATTTGTTCAACCATGCTGTGGCAACAGGTTCACATAGAAGATTTAATTATCATATTAGCTTTGAAAGAAGTCAGACTTTCATATTCTTTCTCCATGTGATGAACATATAACTAAGCAAGCTTAATAGTTGAACTTTTTGGCTGTAATAGAATGCCAATTTGAATTTATCCCATAACTTACCACATTAATAGGTGCGTTCCTAGTTGGTAGAAGATGGTCACATCGTCCACCAACTAGGACTCATGTCAACTAAGTATATAAGCTAAGGGAAGTCACATACAATCAAGTTATAACCTAAAATGACACAGGCTACAAACATGACATCCATGCATTCATCCATAAGTGACCTAGGTTAAACATGAAATACATGCATTCATCCATCTCAAACTAAAAAATAAGCATTAGAAACAGTAGATAAACTCAAATTAACCATAAAATAACTACACTCATTCAATTACACATAGTACCCTAGTTAAGATTTGGGGGACAAAGCTCCAAGTATCTTAGGCTACTACCCTATGGCATTGCGAAGGAGAGCCACAAAAATAAAGGAAGAAAACATGAATACAAACTCCTTCTTGTGCAGAGAAACTCCTCCTTCAGCTCCACCTTTCACTTTTCTACTCTTCCTCTCTAACGCAACAAATTCTCTCTATAGTTCCTCGCCATAGGGTTTTGCAACTTCCCAAGTCATCAAAATGAGGGGAGCAACCCTCTATTTGTAGAGATCCAGAGGAACAGAAAAGTTTGCGGTCAAAGTTCGGGAGATTGTGGTTGCGATCATTGTGATCAGGCCACAAAGTTGAAAATGACGACGTATTTGGCTTGTCCGATGGAGCGATCACGGATGGTTGAGGTCAGTCTACGTCGCTACTAAAATTCTTGAAGCGCTTAAGGGTTTCTCAAAGAAAAAAAAATGTGGAAATCTTGTTTACACCCTTTAACCTTAATACTCAAAATGTGGGAGTTGTTGTTACTTGCCACCCTAAGAAAACTTTTGTTTACTTTCCAAGTAACTTGCATATTTTATCTTATAAGGGCCCTATACCTCGGTTTAGTTGGCACAACTACTAGCATTTCTTACTAACAATGGGTACCCTCACAATGGGGGGTCTAAACTTGAGTTTTGACTTCCGCGTTATGTATCAGCGTTGGGTGTCAATAATAAAGTATGAGTACTACTGAGTTATGTATCGTCGTTCGGTTGGATACATAACATGGGAAATGACAACTGTACGTATCGCCGTCCAATTTCAGGCCTGATAGACTACCACGGAACTTATCGTCGTCTAGTTGTGATCCATTGAGATAGTGGCTAGCTAAGTGAGGTTAACTTGTTCTTACTTGTTACTTTCTGTGCTCTTTTCATCTTAACTTATTTAACGGTAAAGTACTACTGATAGGAGAAAATAAACGTAAAAGCTTCAAGTGAATATTAAAAGCTCATAAACACATACTTCAAAACCATAACTCAAATAGAGAGCACGCATAAACAAACACTAACATAATCTCAAGCATTCGTAGCATCTAATAGTGGAGTACTGGCATGCAACTTTACGTAAAACACATACTTTAAAATTTGTAACGCCTAGAATTTACTGCCTTAACCACTTAGCTCTCAAGTGGCAGTTCCTTAGTTCCTTTGATGTAGAACCCTTAATCCGATTGCTCTCTTACACCTATAAAACGTAAGTATCTCCTTTTTACTTGGTATTCCTGAACTTAGTCCCTTTAATTTACTGGGAACATCCTCTTCTAAATACTTAGTCCTAAAATTGTTTAAATATGACCCTTAACCTTTTCCAAACTTTTTTCTCAAAATTAGAATTTCCACGCATATTAGAAGACCTAAAATTTTCAAAGAATTAAATAATCATTGCATAAATCCTTATAAATTAATCCAAAATTTGTTTTCCACTTAAAACTCAAAATCAGACCTTTGGTAACTCAAATCTTCAATTAAAAACCATATCGATAAATCAACAAGTTAAATAAGCCATTTTTTTATTAAAATTAATCATAAATAATTTTTAAACCATGTTGCGAACACTTAAATTTCCAGTTTATAAATTTGTAACAACAATTCATAAACCAGTTTCAATACAAATGCTTTCATTAGATCTATCTTCAAGACACATCTCGACGTGGTATTCTTCTTATGATAGTCCTTCACTAACTCACTAGCCATCAAGATATTGTCACTAATTAATCTCCCTTTCACAAAAGCAGATTGAGCTCTACCTATAACCTTTGGAAGTACAGCTGCTAACCTATTTGACAGGAGTTTAGATATGCCTTTATACAACACGTTACAGCATGATATAGGTCTGAAATCCCTCATTCGATCAGCATTAGCTACTTTAGGTATTAAAGATAATATTGTAGAATTTACCTTTTGAGGCATCACTCCTGTTCTGAAGAAATCCAGTACCACATCTTCCACCAGCTTCCCAATTACAGGCCAATCTGATTTGTAGAATTCTGCAATAAAACCATCCGGGCCGGGTGCTTTGTCATTTGGCATCTTTCTGAAAACCTCCCTGATCTCCTCCCTTGTAACTGGGACTAGTAGTAACTGAACACTCTCTGAATACTTTTTCGTTATTAATGATTTGTTTCATTGTTATTAAAGGTTTGGTGCTGAGGTGTGAACATTGGTTTGATTGAACTAATATTTTGATTTACTAATGTTTGCTTGACAAAATTACAGATGCACTATGTAACAAGTGTCGAAGATGTTAAAAATAAGCATTGTGCTTTATGAATTATGATCACTAAGAATGATCATATAGAGCGAATCAATTGGTCACAAAATGTTAATAATGTCATTAGAAGTCATTGTAAGAGGTCATTATTGTGGATTGTTAATAAAGATGTTGTAAATCAATGATAATGATATTCGAATAATTAATAATGATGTGGTATAACTTTAATAGTCTCTTCATAAGCGTTGATGACAAAAATGTAAATCGGTAACAAGTGATAAAAATCGTTAACAATATACTTGTAATAAATTGATAAGTATATTGAAATCGTTAATAATGACGATGTATATTAATAATAATTGAGTACATAAACATTGATAATGTCATTGCAATGTTAATATTATTTTGCAAGTTGCCAAGAAGCAAGAGGAAGTGAACATCTTTAATTTTTATTTTTAAAAGGTCAAATATTAATTTCAAATTTCATTAAATATTAAATAATAATTAATTGTATTAATTTCAAATTTTAATTTTTGTGGAGAGAAAGTTATGGAAAGGCCACCGAAGGAAAGAGAAAGAAAATTATTAATTATAGTAATTATATTATTAGAATACCCAATTTACCCTTAACAACCTATTAACGGGAGAAGCTAGGGTGCTAACCCCATAGGGGGTTAGCACCGTCCTAACCCCAATCCACACCGTCCAACACTACGTCTAATCTAATGGATCAGAAACGCTAAGGGTAATTAGGGATTGGCATCAATAATTATTAAAATCAAGATCGAATTGGGACCAGACCGGTTCAAGACCGGACTGGATCAAGACAGAACTATATCCAATCCAATATTTGATCCTTATATTCTCGAAAAGATCGAACCGAGACCGGATCAATTTGGGCCAATTTAACCGGACCGGACCATATAGTCACCCCTATTTTCTACTACTGAACATACCGTTCTAAATTCATTGCCTTCTTGTTGTGGATCATGTCACTAACATATATATGTACTCTTTGCAAACTGTGTTTGGTACAAGTAGAAAATTGATGTTCAGATTTTTGTTGACCTCTACATTAGGATCCTATGTTGGATCGTGAATTGTTATCTTTCTTTATTGGTCCTGACTCCTGAGTAGTAATTATTGTATTATTTCCGACTAAGTTTTTGTTCGCTCCACACGCGAAGTGTAGCGAGCGGGCATTACTAGTAAGTGTTAAGATTGCCAATTTTATGTGGCAATAAATTACTTTTTTTTTTTTGCCATACTATATAAATATAATAGATATTCTTTAACTTGTGTTGAAGCTTGATAGGCTGACGTATTTATTTTGTTACTTGCTAGAATGTTTGTGTTAATATAGGTCATTCTTAACCACCTGATTAGCAGGGTTAGTATTTAAAGGAAGCCCTTCCCCTTTAACAGCTAATTCTTCATCATCATCATCATCATCATCATCATATCATCTAACCACCACCGCCACCATCTTCCTTCAATTGGTAATTTCCTATGTTCTCTTCTCATTTGTTTGTCTGTCCACTAATGGACTATGCAGTTAATCAATTTTCAAATGTACTTTCGAGTCTTCACTCATCAGTCATCACATTCTCTTTGTAAATTGTACGTTACGTGGCTGAACAGAATAGCTAACAACTTAATTAACATTAGATACTTACAAATGTTATTTTCCTATCTACGAAACATACCAAATTAATTAATTAATGATATTATTCACGAAACATGACTACAAATGGTACTTTCCATAGATCGAACCCAACCTTTCTGGCTCGCACTCTAAATATTGACACCTTACCAGCAGCTTAGCTTAGCTGTAAACAATTTCAACTTTTACAGACGCAAAGAACATCAATTCTTCTTCCTTAAAAATTAATTAACTTGGCTACATATTTGCCTAATTTCACCCTGCGATCCCGTTTTAACCCCGATGTTCCCCATCCGAACCATCGCCTCAGCAAAATCTGCTCCAAACGACGCCGTCTGACCTCCGCCGACGTAGGACTCCATCACCCGCCTGGCCCGCCGATCGTCCATCAGCCGCGCGTCCGACGCCAGGACAGCGAAGCCGTTCAGGATGTTCCGGAGGATGTGGTCGTCGAAAATGAAAGCCGACGACCAATCGAGAGCCAGCCGGTGGTCGACGTTGCCGCCGGGGGGACACACCGACTTGAGCTGCGGCAGGAACTGTTGATTCAGGGCCGGGTCAGAGTCGCTCCGGCCGGTGAAGTTGTAGAGCCTTTTGGGCATGAAGAAGCACGCCGTCGTCCCAATTGTATGCCCCCCTGAAACAAAAACAAAAACCACAAAAAAAATATTATTATTCCCTGCCCATGTACGACTGTAACGCTAGCATCACATGAGTAATAATCATTAGGCCAATTTTGTATACCTGCGCTGAGAAGGACGAAATCCTTGATGGACATTCCCTTGGCACGGAATTTGGAGGTGAGAACTTCAATTGGTTCATTGACATCTGGCAAATTGTTGGCGAGGGTCCGACTGGAAAACCGGCCGTCCCTTCTTCCCGTCGGCACGGCATAATCCGGTCCGTTGCTCTGTTTTTTTTGTCAAATTAACCGGTGTACATTATTAAAATGATCATTGCTCAGAATTTCAGAACCGGAAAGGATAAAAAGAAGAAGGATTGAGAGTACCAAGGCAACAGCATCACGGGCAGCTAAAGCCAGAATGTCCGCGCAAGAGACGACGCCGGGGCAGAGCGACTCGAGCCGTGATTTGGCGGTTTCTATCACATTGAACCCGGCGAGCCCTGCATTCCCCGGCGCCTGCCTCTCGCCGTCTTGTGTGTTCAGCAAAATCGACCCGTCGCATCCCTGCCAAAAATTTTGTAAAAATAAGAAGAACCCATCACTGAAAAATGGAAAAAGAAGTGATCTTTGGTGTTTGATTTTAGATAATCGGTAATGGGAAGGGGGAAAATAACAAACCTCGACAAAGCAATCGTGGAAGGAGAGGCGGAGCAATTGGGCGGCGACGGCCCTGTCAGCTTGCACGGCTTGCTGGACAGTGAGACGGACGGTCATTTCGGCGATAGGACAACTCTGAGAGTAGAATCCAAATTGGAGCTGCTGCCCATTGGAAGCAACGATTAACAAAAGACACAGCTGAAAGATTGAGAGAGCAAAGGTTTGGAGTCTGAAACAGAGCATTTTGATGGATGAGGATGAGTGGGAAGGGGAAAGTGGAAGGTATGGAGGAAGAAACTTGGAGGAATGTTTTGACTTGCAGCGGTTTAAATAGGGGGAGAGGCAGCGAATAATGATGATGGTGATAACTGTTTTCACGCGTACAGAGAATCGATGTGGCAATAAGAAATGTGCATGCCGTTTGTTCTTGCTCTTCTGTGCCATACCATGTGTCCAATTGGTTTTGTCTTCTCTGCTCGATTAAACCAACTGTAGTTGGTCCTCACTCTGTTCTGGTGTTAAATGTGCTCTGTTTCTTAGTTACTGCCCGAGCAAAAGGTTTGTCATTTGGTCACGTAAAGGGATTGTTACGTTGTGGAGGGCTCTGTCCGAATGCTAGCTAGGCCAATCTACCATTATACTAGAGAGCAGTAACCAAAAGAGACTACACAATCAAACAAAGAGAGAATTTAGAGAATACATGCATGTGACCTAGACATGAATTGAAACTCCCTAGATCCTTTCGAAGGGAATATCAGAACTGCAATAGGACTGAGAATTTGTTGAAAAATGAAAATCTAAAGTTTTTGAGGCAAAATAGAGATTGTTGTTACTAAGTGACGTCTTTTTCTGGGGATTTGTTCTTCTTATGGTTTGTTAATAAGGAGAAACAGAAGAAACCAGTTCTTTTTAGTGGCGTAGAAATCTGAATTGTCTGGTGTGAGTTGTAACTAATATCTATTGGAACGGTAAGTAAAATCATCATGGTTAAAAACTAAAAAAGATACTAGTTTTTTACCCGGCCCGTTGGTCGGAAAGTTTCATTTTATCGTTGACATTAATTCGATTTATCTATATGTTTAAACTATTTTAGACCTTCTAAATTTATTATATTTTGTATTGATAAGTGAGTACGTATGTGGTGTGTCTATATATTAAAAATTCTCAATACTTAGCACATTCACTTATACTGTTTGAATTCTCTAATCATAAACCATGTCACAAAGGTATACCACGTCCATGTACAATTTTTTCTATCTTATATGAATCCATGTTGTTCAGATGAGGACATCTTACAGAGAGTTTCTTTGTATATATACTTCATTATTGGATAAATTTCTTCATCCCAATTTAAAGTCGACACTTTGAATATTCATGAAGTTTACTGTAAGATCTTATTTGTATTTAGTCTCTTATACAATATGTATCAATTGCTAATTTCTGAAATTTAATTTGGACTAACTGAGACTCATTGTCGTTGTTTATATATTATTTTAGAATCTCAATCCAAGATACCCACATACGGATTTTGATCTTAATATGGTGCGATAGTGTATAATTTTACAACTTGTAGAACCTTCGTTTTCTAAAGTTTATTTATGTTTGGTATTTGTTTAGAAATAAAAATTTCATTACTTATACTAATATATGCATTTTTTGTATTGCCACATTTATGGTCAATATATAAGCATATATATTAAAAAGAGTTTATAATTATTTTTAAGTGTAATTAATGCTTGTTTTTTATCGGGATTTATAAAATGTTTAGAAAATAAGGGAAATATGAACAATTGTAAAAGAAAATAAGGGATGGAAGAGAGAAAAGTATTCTTACTTATCATCTTCATTTATCCAATAATGTGATCTATTCTTGCTCCATTGAATTTCTATCGAATTATTTTATTTCATAAATATATAATTATTTATGCATGCGTTTTATTGCAAAAAAAAAAATGCATGTGTTTGCTAAGAAAGATCCATACCTCTTACGATGATTAACTTCTCTAATCTTGCTTCATAGGTCAATGGTTCATGAACACATGATGTTTAACATACAGTTTAGCAAAAATTCATCTAACTTTCACATGTATCATTTTTTAATGTATCTCGTGTCTCATCTTAAGATATGAAGTCAAGTTCATCAACAATCATACTGAAGTCATTTTAAAATTTTTTATTTATAATCCTTGAAAATTTATTACTCCACGTCTGAAAATTAAATTTCTTAGCATATGACGTAAAACTTCAGTAGAGTTTGCTAAATTAACACGATCAAGAGCAAAAATGCAAAATATTAGTAATTTGAACTTAGGATACATTGTAAATTATTGCACCTATGATTCGTATTTTTTCACTTAATTAGAACGAATAAGGTTTTTGTTTAAGAAATAGATTTTATTGATTGGTCAAGTTTCTATTCAAAAGTTTCTTGTTTTCTCTCTTTAATTTCCATCGTTATTTTGTCGCGATAAAATGTTATTATGTATGTGTGTTTGTATAAATTGTTCATCAAAATGTAACATATTTGTAAATTATTGTAAAAATGAGTTAAAAATATATTTTTTGTTGAAAAAAAAGTTATATGTGTGACTCAAAGATATTAGTCTATTGTTGCGTACATCTATACAATGCAAAAGTAAAAACAAAAACATAAAAGAAGTATTGGAAAAGAAAAATAAATATTAAATAAATTAGAGATAACAAATGTAATATATGTCATTTTTCATACATTATTTATTATTGTGTACATTGATATAATACAAAAAAAAGGATAAAAGGGAAATGAAATATTAAATGAAGAGAGAGATAGTTCCATAAATATATCAATAACTATTTTTCTTTTTGTAAAAATATTATCCACTTTGGCAATTTGTGAGCTCTCCAAGTGCTTAGGTGACAAACAATTACTTTTGAATTGCCATAATATTATGTATAGATAGATAGATAGATTAGGAGGATTCGTAGGTGAAATGAAATATCAAATAAGAATCAACTATTTTTTTTTTTTTTACAAATAAATAAGAATCAACTAGCTAGCTCAGATGTGAGTGATGTTATGTTACAAACTTATATATAAACAAAAAATTTATCGGTGCTTTTGGTTAATGAAACTAAATTATGATATAAATATTTTATTTTAATCACTCGGAGCGAGATCAAACTAGGAGTTCACCTGTTTGAGTTTTTTGGACCCTCCACAAAGATCTCTATTAAATGCCCCTCGGATCACCATAACAGCTTTCCGGAACGAGCGCTCACTAAGGGTTTCACCGCTAGGCTATGTGACCTTTGACAATTATGATACAAACTATATTTTTACTTTTAACGTTATGGTACAAATTTGGTTTATACCATAAACTGAATGTGCATATTTATATTATGGTACAAACTGAACTTGTATCATAATTCATAACATAATGATACAAATTCTTTTATATTATAAGTGAGCTTGTACATTTAACGTTATGATACAATTTCAATTTGTATTTCGAAATATCAATATTTTAAAGTATAGAGAAAAACTAATATAGGAGAATGGTGCATCGTGGAGGACCGCTCTGACCTCTCTCTTCTTTCTCTCTCTTTAGCTCGGGTTCTGGTTAGGGCTTCCTCGCCGCCATGGCGGCCTCTCCATCGGCCACAGCTCCGGTTGGAGAGGCAGTGTCTTGGGCTTCGCTGTTCGATGTTGCTCCTGCTAATAGGATGCGATTTCGCCCTCCGGAGAAGATTCTTGATGGCTTCAGATTACCTCGCGAAGTGAAGAAGAAGGGTGAGGAACGGTGGAAGGATTGTCTGATCGGACAATTCCTTGGGGCTATTCCAAAATTAGGGTTGCTCCAGCAGTGGGCGAATGGGTTATGGGGCCGAGATGGTCCTGTGGTGGTTTCTAGGTTTGGACCGCGTCTTCTGGTGTTCCAGTTTCCTTCTGCAGGAACGAGTCAATGGGGTCTTTAAGTCGGGGCCATGGCACTACCAAGGTAATCAGATTTTCTTCAGGAAGTGGGCACCTGGGATTCAGCCGGCTGCTCCAGTAATTGAGGAGCTTCCCATTTGGGTTAAGATCTGGGGGATACCTTTGGAGTATCACACATCTGAAGGGCTCAAATGGGTTGCGAGTACTATAGGTCCACTTGTCTGGATGGATCAAACAACTAGGAAGGGGCATCAGTTGGAGGTTGCGAAGGTTTGTGTAAATCTGGCGGCTGATTGTGGTTTTCCTTCAAAAATCAGGTTATACCCTGATGATGACCCATGTTTTGAAATTGGGATTGAATACCTGAATAAACCTAGTGTTTGTGCAAAGTGTGAGGTATATGGCCGTGATTGTGCTAAGAGTGAGCCTGTGGGTAAAAAATGGGTGCCAAAAGTGAGGGCTGCTGAAGATGAGATAGGTAAGTCAGAAGTTCATCCGACTGTGATTGAAGGGGAAGGTAAGGGCAAGGAGAAGGTTAATGCTGAAGGGGAGAGTGTGAATGAAAATCTGGTGGTTTCAATTGAGGAAGGTCAATCTTTTGGTGATATGGTCAATTCTGAAGGGGATTCTGGAAATCAGGCTGTGAGTTTTGTGGATGTGGTTAAGGGTCCTGTTCCTGGGGGTAGTCCTTCAAGTGTCTTGGAGAATGCTTTGCCAAGCTCAGGAAGGCAAGTTCCTCTGGAAGTTCCTCCTGACACTCAGAATCCATGGATCACAGTGAGTCAGAAAAAGAAGATACCTACTGCACCTATTCCTAAAAGGGGGGGCAGAGGAGGTAAGAGGAAATGAAGTTTCTATCATGGAATACCCGGGGTTTTAAGGACCCGGAAAAGAATAAAGTTGTACAGCTAGTAGTTAATAAGTACAATATATATTTTGTTGCTTTGTTAGAACCAAGAGTCAGAGTAGATAAAGCTGAGGAACTAGTGACCAAGAGGTTTCCTGGGTGGGGGAAGAAAATTGTGGGAAATGCTGCAGGTTTAAGTAAAATTGGGTTGGTTTGGAGGTCAGATGTACAGTTGAGGATCCTTCATTGCTCTGATAAGTTTATTCATGCTATGGTATGCTCTGGGGAGCCTTTCTTTGTCACTGTGGTATATGCTTCTAATGATGAAGTAGAGAGAAGAGTTCTATATAGCAAATTGGGGGATATTCAGGTTCAATCTGAACCTTGGGTTATATTGGGGGACTTCAACGCTATAGGGGATGTGAATGAGGCCTCAAATTCACCTGGAATCAGCTCAAGTATGATGGATTTTAGATAGTGGCAGTTTGATAGTGAGGTGGTAGAGCACAAGTCATCTGGCCCATGGTTTACATGGATTAATAAACAGGTTGGGAATCCAATTGCGAGGAGATTTGATAGAGCTTTCATAAATTGCAAATGGT